CTGGGTTCGTTTCGTTGCGTTGCGTAGACCCCCTCTCACTCCTGATCTTCTCTCTTTTTTTTATTCGCCTTCTCTTCTTTTCCTTCCCATTCCTGTAGAAATGAAAATACTAATGAATTTTTGCGAAAAAAAATGTGCCGGCGGGTTTGACTGGTTTTCCATGAAACTGCAAAACTTAGTTGGGCTTATAATTGGTATGGGCCGGACTGTAATCCGAATTAGAAGAATGTAGAATTTGAAAGCACAAGCCACCAGCTGATCTCCTCCAGGAAGGGCCATCAACCCAAACTAGGCTAGGGATGGGTTACAGTTGACGCCTAAAGTAACCAAGCCAAATAAATGGGCCTTCTTACAAGTTTACTGTGTGCCTGATGGGCAGAAACCTTTCAGCACCATTCCTTACCTCCTAACTTTAAAATGGATTATCGTTTTATGGGTATCCGTAACTATCAAACTCGAAAACATAAGATTATGATACCTTATATAAGGTTCTAGGGCAAATTAATGTAACGTTTTTAAAATTTAACATGAGTTTGGACAGGTTTAGAGTATCACTTTTAAGATACTTTAAATCCAAACCCAATTATATATAATGTTATATAAATTTTAAATTTTGTAGGATTTGAACCTTTTTCCTCTGTATTTTAAGGCAATATTTATCATATCAACTAATCTACTTTTGATAAATTAATCAATGTAATATTAATTTATATTAATTGAACTATGTTGCAACAAATTTAAGTATGTAAAATTTTATTACTAGAATATGGGAACCACTTTCAAGTCTTTGTTAATTTTACCAATTTAAACGGGTATTTAATAGATTCAGATAATTAATAGATAATTTTTTATTATTATGATTTGATTTTTGATAAGATTTTATATTTTTACGTAAATTTTAATAAAATTTTGATATTTTGAGAACGAAATTGTTTCAAGTTGAGTACTTCAAAAATTGTAAGTATTTTACCTATTTACTTCTCTAATTTCATAACAAGATCCAACTTAATATAATTAAGAAGATTATAATTCTCAATATCTTATAATACGCAATAAGTATTATAAGATACAATATTAACAAAATTAAATATATGAATTAATCTATTATATTGTATTTATCAGAAATGTAATATTTCATACATAATACATAACGGATATAATTTATTTAAGATTATATTAAATTTATCTTATTTAATTATTAAAAATTTATTTTCTATTTAGTTATTTTTTAGTTAAAAAATGAAAAATTACTTTTAGTTTTAACCTTCAAGGTATATTCGACAAAAAACTTGTACAAAAGCCAAAAAAAAAAAATCACCCTTTGTCTTGACATGTCTAATACTTTTTACTTTTAGTTAATAATTAATATGAAAAATGATTATTTATTTACAAATAATATTATAGAGCATATTTAGAGTTTGAATTACAAAAAAAACTCATCTTTTCAAGCTATGCCACATGATTCTCAATCATATTAATAAATATAATTTTTTAATTTTTTATTATATATATTTTTATAATTTAAAAATAAGGGAATCGAATTTTATTTTTTAAATAAAAAATAATGTATCAATTAATGAAAGAAATATTTTAATATATTTTATATATTATTTATAATTAATTTTAAAAGAGTTTTATATAATATATAATATTCAATAATTAAATTTTTAAAATAGAATTCCAATATATGATATATGTTTCAATTTAAAAGGTACAGAATATAAATAAATAAATATTCTCTTAATAGGCGTTTTTCTCAAAATTTTGTCACCTTGAGTCTCCCTTATCCAAAAATTTATCATTGATAATTTTTTATTAATTTTAATCCTGTTCCTATAATGGCTTGTACTGAAGCCGACGTCGTTTTCATTCCGAAGTTCGGGAAATTGCAACCAATTTAGAACCCGTCACGTGCACTGACACGTGCAAGTGTCATTATCAAAATATTATATTGGGTTGAGTGGGTAAATCCCAAACCGCCCACCTGTTCCCACAGGCTCCTCTCAGGAAACGTAATCTCTGGAAAGCCACGACATCCCAAATAAATAAATTCGGTATTAAAGTTAGCTTAGGCCCACTATTCATTGGGCCCCTCGCTCGAACCTAACAGTCGCAAATCTCGAAGCCTCCTTCCTCAACAGACACGCAAAGTGCCACGTGGCCCACATCTGCCTCTTGCCTGGGCCCGTACACCGACCTTTCCATGCCGACAATCCGGGTCCCACCAGGGACAACTTGTCCATGTTCTTCTTCCACGTGTCATAGATTCGAACGGTCGCATACTCGCATGACTGGTCCATCCCAGGGTGTATCTCTCTTTCTTTTTCTCTACTTTTTCTTCTTTTCGGCCTTTTGACTGTTACTTTCCAGAAGCGCTAGCTCATAAAGCACGTCTACACTTGCTGTCATGAGTTGGCACCTATGCATGAAGGACAGATGTCGGATAGATAAGGCGAGTACGTTTCGATTGATTATCCCGGAGAGTATATTGTTTAAGAATTTTTTTCCTTTTGTTTAATGCACAGGTCGGTTACAGGAATGGCGTTCGATTGGCTAACCCAGAGCTTCCGTTAATGATTTTTTTTTTCCTTTTCTTAATCGCGTCAGATGCGCGTAGTGAATGATGCTTTGGATGCTATAAAAGCCCAGTTTTTCTGATTGCTCAAAATCCATCAAACCGTTTCCTACTCTCTAAGTGAAGTGATCCAGAAATCTTTTTCATTTCATTTGCGTTCTGTTCAAATACACTGAGCTTTGATCATAGTTCTGTTTTAGTGCTGGTTGAATAGTTTTATCAAAAATGGCTGAGGAGCATCACAACAAAGGCCCTGAGTGCGAGAGCAACGTTGCTGGTGAGGGAGCTGTGGAGACCCAGGACCGAGGGTTGTTTGATTTCTTGGGGAAGAAAGAGGAGAAGCCCCAAGAGGAGGTGGTGATCGCCACTGAATTTGATGAAAAGGTTAAGATAGAAGAGACAAAGGTGGAGGAGGAGCAAAAGAGGAAGCAGGAGAGGAGAAGAAACACAGTCTCCTGGAGAAGCTTCACCGATCGGACAGCAGCTCTAGCTCTGTAAGTACTTTGATCATGTTTTATGTTAAAACAGTACAAAGAGTAAACTGGGTGGACAAAATTTCCATTTTTATCTATACAGTTTTAATTAATTACTATGTATTTAGTATCCCTTGATCATGAGATTTATAGAGACTGATCTCGGGATATGCAATCTGTATTTTGAATGTGCAGTCCAGCGACGAGGAGGAAGGTGAAGGAGAGGAGAAGAAGAAGAAGAAGAAGAAGGAAAAGAAGGAGAAGAAAGGACTGAAAGAAAAGATCGATGAGAAGTTGGGAGGAGAAAAGAAAGAAGAGGAGATCAAGCACGGGGAGACCTCAGTCCCAGTGGAAAAGTGTGATGAGCCAGTTGTCCAAGCAGAGCCAGAAAAGAAAGGTTTCCTTGAGAAGATCAAAGAGAAACTCCCTGGACAGCACAAGAAAGCTGAAGAGGTCCCCCCTCCTCCTCCTCCACCCCCAGCTGAGTGCGTCGCCGCTGAGCCCCATGAAGGCGCCGAGGCAAAGGAAAAGAAGGGAATTTTGGAGAAAATCAAGGAGAAGCTTCCTGGTTACCACTCCAAGACAGAGGAAGAGAAGGAGAAAGAAAAGGAGAGTGCTTCCCATTAAGAAGGCAATCTGTTATTTCCAAGTAAATGCTGATGCTTGTGTGGTTTATTTGTTGAAAATGTCTCTTCTTTTTTGGGGTTGTATATTTCATATAAGTTCTCTTTCCTCCTGCTTTGATTGTAAGTTTGCTATAACAAAAAAAAAATATTAAAGTTTGTTTATATAAGGGTTTTTAATCATATACTTAGTACTAGTATTTCATGATATGTGAGAAAGGATATGTCATTTCCTTCCTTTCCTATTTTTGTGATTTCGACATTATTAATGTATTAATTTCTTCTGTTCTTGTGTATGTCCTGTCTTCATGATCATTTCTAGTCCCACGCCGCACCCACCATCCTCTACTTTTTCCGAAAGATAATGTAGAATTTGGATAAACACTAGCATTCGGATAAGTTCATAATATCACATCTTCGCATGACATCCAATGAATGAGACACACTTGCGGTCTGCCTTGATTTTTCAAATCTATATCAATACATAATGAAGGGTAAAGATCTGGGAATGGTGTATTATTGAAGTTTTGGTTCTGTCCAAAGCAAATAATTCCACGAAATTAGTCATCACATTCTTGGTGCATCGAGTGCGACATTGGCAGATGTATAGCACTTGATTACATATGCAGACACAAAAACTATAGTCCAAGGAGTAAGGGTGGACAATTCTTATGATGAATTTAACAACTTTGTGCTTCCCTAATTAGTCAAAAGGCCAAACAAATTATTATGAAATTTGATTCTTATTATTATTTTCACGACACGACATTATTCAAACTAATTTTAAAATAATAAAAGAAAGAATAAGCAGACAAAGAGGTATGGGAGAGTCATCATCACCTCCTCTCATTATTTGAACCAACCCCTTGGATGACAAATTAACCTAGTTGAACAGATGCAATGTTTTAACTTCAATATTACACTTTGCTTTATGGTGGTTTCGTTTTCTAATGGATGAGGGCATGGAGTCTGCATAGTGTAAAAGGCATTCATTTCAAACAAAAGTGGTGCATTCGCTTTTCTTTTTTCCTTTCGGTTGAAATGTCACTTATGGAAGCCATTTTTAACGAGCAAAAACGATGCTTGGTGGAGGTAGGGTTCTTTTACCATTTATTTTTTCTGTTTTTTTTTTTTCTTTTGAAGCTTAGGACCACCACGATCATGATGGCTAATATCTCAGACCTAACAAAAATAGAAGTACTTTAAAATTATCTTTGAAATTAACATGCATATGAAGTTTAACTTCTCTCACTTTTCAACCAATTAATTTACAAAACAAGTGGTTTACTCTTGTTCTTCTGTTTATTATATATGAAATAACTGGTGTGTATGCTTTGATATTATTATTTATTAATTGACCAAGGTAGATAATTACAAAATAATGGTTTTCATATATCTTTTCTATCCATCCAATGCATGTCACAATCCAAACTCAACACTCTAGTTTTTCTTTCAAATAATGGGATCTTATTAAGTTAATTGTGTACGCGGTTGAAACACATCTTGAGTCATATTGAAAGGCGTAAATGCAGAGTTTTATTACTGATCAGTTGACAAAAGCAATTTCTCATATTAGGAAATTTTCTTTTTACTTTTTAGTAATACTTTATTCTTCCGATGTTTGTCATTTTTGTTCTTTCAAGCTGCGGTTTAAATAATTTAAATTCTCTCCTTTTTTTTTGGGAAATTCTAATAAAATTTTTTTGTCTTTAAAATAAGAAATTCTCTATATCCATTAGCAATTTTACTGCCAATTAAGTATATATTGTTTGTCATCTTCAAATTCGATAATTTTAATAATTTATTTCTTATTAAAAATTTAAGTTCAACTTGTGAGTTGGGAGAATTTTTTAGCTTGTATTTTTTGTGAGCTTTTATTTTAAAAAAAATGTAGTAAAAGAATATTTATTTACTTGAAAGTTGTATATGAAAAAATTGTTAAACTGATCTCCCACGAACAAGAGATCATCGACTCTGCCGCAGTAGCATCATAACACATTTAGCAATAGACAAGCTCACACCTTGTCAGTCTCCCTCAGCTGAACAACCCAAGGAATGATGCTCTTGTGCCAACTCAAATTTTCAAACCCCTCAGGCAAATAGACAAAAGAACAAGCTGATGATCCCTCTTTTTTATATATGTTCTAAATGAATCGAATCCGTTCACAAAATACTAGGAAACATTTGCCAGAAAATCCAAGAAACTCGAATTGAAAGCTAGCTACCTTTATATATATATATATATATATATATATATAGCTTCACGGCTGATGGGATTAACTAGTTTGAAACAGACTCTTAGCAAAATGCATAAACACCTACATTTGCTATCGCCTTTTGTTGCTCTTTGTACTGCTTTTGCCTTGATAAAAGAAGTTGATGGCGAGTACTTGATTGGTGTTGGGAGCTACGATATGACGGGTCCTGCTGCTGGGGTTAACATGATGGGCTACGCTAACATGGAGCAGAGCACTGCCGGTATCCATTTCAGACTGAGAGCGAGAACTTTCATCGTTGCTGAAAGTTCACAAGGACCAAGGCTTGCTTTTGTTAATCTTGATGCAGGCATGGCATCACAGCTTGTCACTATAAAAGTGCTCGAGAGGCTCCAAGAAAGGTAAACCCAAAGCCATGCAAGATAAATTATGTAACTTCCGAAACCTTGAGATATCACCCTTTGATTAATGTGCATGAAAAGTTTATCTTTTGAAGGTTTGGAGATTTGTATACGCAAGAAAATTTGGCGATCAGTGGCACTCATACTCACGCAGGGCCTGCTGGTTACTTGCAGTACGTGGTTTACTCTGTTACTTCTCTAGGGTTTATCAAACAATCATTCGATGCAATTGTAACGGCAATCGAGCAGAGCATCATTCAGGCTCACAACAACCTCAAACCTGGCTCGATCTTCTTGAACTCAGGTAAGGTTTTTTTTCTGACTTTGAAATGCTTAATTTCCTTTTCCATGAAGGCTAGAGCATCCTTAAATCTCTTTCTGAGAAATTTTATTTCGTGACATATATATTGTTTTAGGGGACGTGGAGAATGCGGGGATAAACAGGAGCCCAAGTGCATACCTGTTCAACCCACCAGAAGAGAGGGCTAGATACCCCAGCAACGTCGATACAACAATGACCCTTTTGAAGTTTCTGGATATTGAGAGCAAGAACAGCATAGGTGCGTTCAGCTGGTTCGCCACGCATGGAACATCCATGAGCCGAGACAACAAGCTCATCAGTGGAGACAACAGGGGCTCTGCTGCGAGGTTCTTCGAAGACTGGTTCTCTTTTGGCAACAAATCCCTCTCTGCTCCAATCACCAGGTCTTCTGCCTCCCCCGGTAGGCATACCTCTGACTGCCTTTTTCAAATAATGAACCAAAAAAGAACGTAACAATGTAAAGCAAACTGAAATTACTCGCACTGATTACTGATTATGGATTTACAATATTTTCTTGTGAGAGATAGACATCAGCAAACTAATAAAGAAAGCCCAAACGATCAAGGCCACCGGAGGAAAACCTTGTGGGAAAGCAACCAGCCAAGGCTTCAAGGTGAGGAAGAACGATGGGTCCCGATTTGTGGGAGCATTCTGCCAATCAAATGTTGGAGATGTGACCCCGAATGTGCTAGGAGCATTTTGCACTGACACTGGGAAACCTTGTGATTCCAATCGCTCCTCTTGCAATGGCGATGACCAGCTTTGCGTGGGCCGTGGCCCTGGGTAGTTACACCTGCACCACTTGCTGGAATGGCTGATTTGTTAGCTTGTTTTGATTTACTTGGGCTTGATTGAAAGAAAATTTAACTTTGTATGACAGGTACCCAGATGAAATATTGAGCACCAAGATCATTGGAGAGAGGCAATTCCAAAAGGCCGTGGAGCTATTCACTTCTGCTACTAACCAATTGAGTGGAAAAATTGATTATCGCCATGCGTATCTAAACTTCACCAACATCGAAGTGGAGTTGGCTGAAAACACTATAGTAAAGACTTGTCCAGCAGCCCTTGGGCCGGGTTTTGCGGCTGGGACTACAGATGGGCCTGGAGCCTTTGGTTTTCAACAGGCGACACAGAGGTTAGCACTTACAACCTTTCAATTCGGGCCGTCACTTGCTATCTTGGATCTCTTGCGTATTAGTGTTTCAATGCCTGAGATTCTTAATCTGATGTTTCTCCTGTGCAGATCAACGAGATGTGGAAACAATTAAGGGATTTGTTGAAAGAGCCCAGCCAATATCAGGTGGACTGCCAAAAGCCCAAATCCGTTTTGCTAAGCACTGGCGAAATGTTTCTACCTTATGCCTGGGCGGTAAGACGATCTTTTTGTTGATACATCCAGTCCAATTGAGCTTACATCACAAAGAGAAAAGTAGAAAAGAAACTCTTGACTTTCTCTAAACTGTCTCACATCGCCGCTTTCTGTCCAAATTTCTGCAGCCCGCTATTCTTCCCATTCAAATGCTGAGGTTGGGAAATTTTGTTATCCTATCTGTGCCTGGAGGTTTGCTTTCTCTTACGTGATCCTTCGCTTTTATCTTTCTGCGACTAAAGTTTCAGTGCTTGCAGTGACTTAACTAAATAACTCAATTACCCGAGTTAAATGCTTCTCTTTATAGGAAAGTTTTTGGACAAAATCAGTCACACAATGCTCACAGTCAACCTAATACGTAGTATTAAGTTTTCTTCATTAATCACATTCAAAAAACTTTGGAGTTTTGCAGAGTTCACCACAATGGCTGGTCGGCGACTGAGGGAAGCAGTCAAAGAGACTTTGATAAGTAATGGAAATGGAGAATTTGATGACGACACCCATGTTGTAATAGCAGGTCTTACAAACACGTATTCTCAGTATGTAGCAACTTTCGAGGAGTATAAGCAGCAGCGGTATGAGGTATGGACTATAACAAAGCAGATCAAACGAGAAATCTATTTTAAAGGGCTTCCTTTCGATTCAATATCTTATATGCAATGAGATATGCAGGCTGCTTCAACACTCTACGGTCCTCATACATTGTCAGCTTATATCCAAGAGTTTAAGAAACTGGCAGAAGCAATGGCTACAGGAGAAAAGCTCAGGGGAACAGGATTGTTACCACCGGATCTTTCCTCTGTTCAGCTCAGCCTCGTATTAGACCCTACAGGAGACTCGCCGCCACCAGGCAAAAGATTTGGAGATATGCAGCAAGATGTAGGCCAACCGAAAGGCGGTTCATTCAAGAAGGGAGATAAACCAAATGCTACATTTTGGAGTGCTAACCCGAGGTATGACCTCTTGACAGAAGGCACATTTGCTGTAGTGGAGATGCTTCAAGATGGGCGGTGGATTCCAGTGTATGATGATGATGATTTTTGCTTGTATTTCAAGTGGAAAGTAGATACCAGTTTTTATGGCTTAACAACCATAGAATGGGAAGTGCCAGAGGAAGCTGCCTCTGGTGTTTATCGGTTCAGGCACTTTGGGTCATCTAAGAAAACCAAGGACTCCCCAAATGAATACTTTACAGGCGCATCTAGCGCATTCGCAGTGTCATGAAGGCCGTCGGTGTGGTCTGCATCTTGTTTATCAGAAAATAAGCTGTCCACTGACATAAGTTTTCTGAGATTTTTTAATCCAGACGACTGTAATTTATTTGAACATTAAAACCAGCAAACATATCGATCTCAATCTTACAAAAAAAATAGACAATGATCACAATATCAGGGCACATGAACAAGTAAAACCCTGTTATTAGCATAAGCATCTGGTTCAAGTGAAGTGAGACGAAATTTCTCATTTATCCATCCATATCACACAGCGGATGCACTTCCCTTCTATAAGTAATTCAAAGGCTTTGTTGATGTCTTCAAATTTCACCTCATGAGTGACAAACTCGTCCAGCTGCAATTCCTGGAAAATGTACAAGCAGTTAAGCACACATCTATAGACTCAATTCGCATTAGACATTCCATAAGATTAGCAGGGAATCTTTCCCATGAAATGTATTCGTGGAAAATAAGTTGGGTTAGGGTTTCCCTTAAAGCAACTAACATAGCATGACAGGCCACTGATGGGTCTGAAAGTATAAATTAAGCTTAGAATACAGGGTAGGCTTCATGATCAAGCTAGGACAAGCAAAGATAGAACAAGCAAGAAAGGGAGTACAGAAAGGAGATAAACTAGTGAGTAATCACTGTAAAAATTTACCTTGTCCAAGTAACGCTTTATCAGAACTGGAAGGTCGGATTTGGCTTTGATTCCTCCAAATAAGGATCCAGTGAGGACTTTCCCAGAATGAAGGACATCAAAGGAACTGAAGTTCAACTGTGCACCTGGCTTGTCCACTCCCATAACAATCGTCTTTCCCCAACCCTTCAATTACACACAGAGCCAAAGATACAAAAATGATGAAGTTATCCCCATGCATTATTTAGCAGTGAATCGTATTTTGCTTAGTAAGACAGAAACGTAAACAGATCATACAGTCTTTATGTCTAGAATACATATCATATTGTACAAAGAAAACACACAAATGCAAAGGACATCCAAATATAAGTAAGCTAGCCAGAAGCTCTGGGTAAAGCTTTAGTAAGTGATTAAATGTGTGTCTATTGGAGAGAGAGAGAGAGAGAGATAGAGATAGGATACCTTACGGCTGCTTGCATAGGCCTCTTGTACCAAGGATCCCAAACCAACACACTCAAAGCAATAATCAGCACCTCCTCCGGTCATCTCAATGATTACCTGCTCAAAATTAGATAGGAAAGAAAAACAAAAACCGAAATTTAGCAAATTAATCAGCTAGTCAAGATAAGCCAACAGAAAATGTATATAGATTCTTCGTTGTTAAAAAGCATCATAAAGATAACAGGATGCTCATCAAGCTATCAAAAAGGCAACCAATCAGTCTCCAAGCTCAGAAGCCGTATGGTCTTAAATGTCTTACTATCAACCTCATGGTATATATGTATGATGACATCCAAACATACATGGTATGCTTTCATAAATAACAAGTTTTGAATTCAATGTTTACAGCTATTAATTTCAACAAATAATATCATAGACTGCAAGGAAGACCTGGCTCAGAGATTTGTTCCCACAGTCCTTTGAATTGATAAACTCAGTGACCCCAAATTTTTTCCCTGCACCAAACATGAAGGAAACGTCAAGTAAAATTCACACGAAACGTATCATCATAATCGCATAAGATAGAACTGTTTGCACTTAATAGTAATCACCAGCTAAAAGTATTGATCTCGGAGTAATCTGCTTTCAATTGGGCACATGGTGGATCATTGCTACTCATATAAGAAGGTGATTCTGGCCATGGTTCAGATGACTTACAAGCTTTCAACAAAATGAAAATTCAATGACAAGTATGAGACATAAATTTACTCACCAATTTCAAATTTCTCTGGGTTTATATCCACTCCTATAATTCTTTTTGCACCACATAGCCTTGCTCCCTTTGCAACCTAGGAACCAAGAAAGCTGCGAGTCAGTCTTTCAAACTTAACACATATAAATGTCAGATACAGGGTGAAACTTTTCTTCAAGATCATACCGCTAATCCGATTGATCCCAGCCCGAAAATAGCAACAGTTGATCCTGCCTCAACATTTGCCGTTTTGCAAGCAGCACCAACCCCTTAAAAACCGAAAATTTAGCCCGTATAGTAGCGGTACTTTCTATCATCAGACTTTGCCAAAGGTTATGTAAATTTCACAGTGCTTGGGAAAAAGCATGCACTAGCACAATGGTTGATACTGCTGATAGAGATGTTTATAATAGTTATGAAACTCATTGTGCATGGGGTAACAAACTAAGAATCAAGTGACCATGGTAATTTCAGAGATAGTAACAAGGAGTATAAAGTCCAATGCAAAACGCAGCTACCTCAATGGCCCAATCAAGTCCAATTTAAGTAACAAACACCGGAAGAATTAAACCATGATAAATGGATACTTTTCTGAACACACTTTAGTTGATGGCTAAAAGAAAATTGACTAGAAGTCATCAAACAGAAGGTTGTTCATAGACTTCTAGATACAGAATTCAAGGTAAATTTTGAAATTTTAAATGCCATAACATGAAAATCAAAACCCCATTACCTGTAGATACACAACAGCCAAAGAGGCATGCCCTGTTTGGAGGGATTGCAGGATCAATCTTCACTACATGGGTGATATCTACTACTGTGTACTCGCTGAAACTCGAAACGAATAGAAAATGATACAAAGCCTCTCCCTTAAGATCAGTGAATCTGCTGGCGTCATATCTAGGCATCCAGGGATGGACCCTAAACGGGAATTTTGAACATAAGTTGCTCTTCTCTGAACGGCAATCTGCACATTCTCCACAATCTGACATGAACGTTGGGATGACAACGTCTCCTTCGGCTACCTCATCTACATTCTCACCGACACTCTCCACCACCCTACAACCACAATGTCAACTTGTAAATTGAACATAAGCAACTTGTTGCCTTGCTATATTCAGGTTTAAATCATAGAAATTGTATGCATTTGAGTTTTAAATGAAGAAAAAGAAGGATGCCGATTGCCAAATTATAAAGAGATATTTTTTTTTAAGAAAGAGAAACGAGAAAAACAGAGATGACATCTTTTTCTGAAAGTCAAAAGCAATTTCTTTTTCCCATCTTTGATAATTTCCGGAAAATGAAATTTACTACGTAGAACAAAAACGGTCAACGAAGAAATCAAGCTCACCCGACGGCCTCGTGGCCCAGAATTCTGGGGAAACAAGCAGGAGGCACCTTTTCAAACAGAGACAACAATTCAGGTAAGCAACAATAATGCCGAAATTTTGAAGGGAATAAGTTACAGATCAAGACAGCTGGATCGACAGATAGACCACCTTCAGTTTCCAAAAGATGATGTCGCTGTGACAGAGAGAGGTGCAGATTATCCGAATCCGTACTTCGTAGGGACTCGGAGGGGCAACCATGATTTCCTCGATCACTAGAGGCTCCCCTGGCTCGCGAGAAACCGCAGCTAAACGCAGTAGCAACACGTGGCTTCATTCTCTAACAAAAAAAACAAGGAGAAGAAAAACAGAGACAGAAGGAAAAAGACCTTGGGGGACTTCATTTACAGTTACCTTTGCACAGAATTGGTTTCCCAGCGGTTTTGCTTGACAATTTCTCGTAATCCATGGCCAAAAAATTGGAAAGCTGATAGCTCTGTCTGTGGTGGTTGGTGGCAGCGGTGCCAGGCCAAAACAGGACAATGCTTGTCCAACCAAAACCTGAATATTTCTGGTGTATACCAAGTTTTATGAGCTGAATGAATCGAATAAAAGACGCTGAGTTGGTGTGGACCCCTGACCTTTTCGAGTTTCTTGTTTGACCTTTTTATCTCTCAACCATCACAGTAATTATTCCTTTGTCGAGTCGTTGACTTCTCTGCTTGACCTTCCTCCTTCGATTCCCTGGCTTTCATGTAACCGCGCTGAATGGAAAACAGAAAGAGAGACAATATGAGAAATACGTGACCAAGTATTCAAATTAAATGTGATCCACGACAAGATAGAGGTTAAAACTGAACGTCGCCAGGGCATCGCGGGTCCTGCTCAAGGGTAACAGCTCCCCGTGATTTTGGACCAAGATTCTTGCCAATGCTATCGTGACAATGCACTGTTTGTGTATGATTTTTGTACTTACCCTGCGAATAGACTATTGGAGCATGTTGATTGGGCAATCAATCTGTGAAAGAGAAAAGGTTGGCAGTTCTCTTACCTCTAGAACGGAAAATCAATCTGTAAACGAATCAGTGAATCCATGTTGTCTGATCTTACTGTTTACTTCTGTGAACAAGTCCCAGGTATGTTCATCTTCAAATGAAACCAAATGAAAGGAAAAACTGTTTCATTCCGAGCAAGGGTTTTATCTGGTACTAAAATTAAGTGGAAACATCCAGTACTTGTCTTCCTCATATACCTGGCATATTTTGATTTTGCACCATACAATCAAAATCATTACCATAATTTTCGAATATTGTTTCAATGTTTACTTATTTGGATTGGTACCAAACTCCATATGGCAAATTGGCAAATCTCATGATTTTATTGGTCCATTTCAATGATTTTATACCAAAAAGATTCAAATACTTACTTCTATAGGAATTACTTAGCATTATAGAATCTTGGCTCAACCATTTGTAGAATTTTGATAAATAAAATTGTTTTCTTTGTTTCTAAATATTTGTAAATTTTATTATAAAATTTTTAAAATAAAATATAAAATTTTTAAAATAAAATATAAAAATTTTAAAATAAAATACTTAAAATCAGAGTACTTTATATAAAAAAAATAAAAAAATGAAAATAAAAGTATTTTAAAAGCAACATTTTTTTTAATGAAGTCATAGATTGACATTTGTTCGTCCTAGGCTGGGCTTTTAACACATTACAGTGACATGGGCTTAGTTCTCACTTAGGGTACCGGCGCCATTTTAGCCCAAGAAAACGGAGAGAAAAAGGAAGACGAGAAAAGGTTGAGAGGAGACGACTAAAAGAAACGACGTCGGCTGGAAAGATTACCGTCGCATCACGAAATGAACCACAGCTTGATC